AGTGTAGAAATAGTTGCAAATACTACATAAAAGTAAAGGAAGATAATCATGGAACCCAGAAACTGATCTTATGAAATTATGATTTCATAAATTCAGAGAAGTATATCTTCATGGGTCTTTGACACTAAAAAAAAAGAAAGGTTTGCCTTAAAGCACTGTTTTTCACTGAAGATGTATTTTTTCAAGAGAAAGCACTCGTGTGTAGTAGTTTTCCTCACCTTTAATTGGGAAGCATTTAAGTCCAGGTGCAGAGGATGACTCCTTTCTCAGGAAAGTCACCTTCAACACAAACCCAGCCCTCAGCCCTGATGCAATGAGCAACTAATGAGGAAACTTCCTGTAGCCTTGGCCCTGGCCATGTAGCTTTGGTGGCCCGAGTTATGGCTATGGTTCCAGTGATGGCCTTGGAAGCCTTGACTACTTTCCACCTTCTTTCTATGGAAGATGTTGGCCATCTGGGTTTTACTAAAAGTATTACAAAATGCAGAAGTATTCAAAAATGCCTTATTATTTCCATCAGATGATACTTCTTATTTCTTTATTATGCTCTTTGACATATATGTTTTCTCTCACCATTGAAAAAGACATCCAAGACAAATTTCTAGATCTGCAAAGATCTCTTTCCTTACTCAAATTTTTATCAGGCAAGCAGGATAACCTCATTCCTGCTCCATTGTTGACATGTACTTCTTTCTTTCTCCTTTTTAGGATATGTCTAGCATATCCCATAATAAACTTCATTTATAAAAATCTAAAACTCTGCCTTGTTTATTTTTGTGCATCTTAATGACCATTCATTTATAATATTGACGTATGTGTATCATATTTCATGAAATATTATTCTCTGTTCCCTGGGTTATTATCTCATTCTTTTTAAAAAAAAAATTCATACAATTTTAGCAAACTCCTTTATTTCACATGGTACTCCCTTTTTTTCTTATCACATTGAACTAAATATATTTAGACACTGGCAGCTTCTAACTTAACATTTCCCTGAGTTTACATAAATTTGAATATCATGTGAAGTGATGCTTATGGTCTGCAGCCTTTCCTTGGGTATTCATTATTTCATGAACTTAACAAGAAGCAGATGCCCACAGCTCACTGCTCAGCCTCCAGGTTGGCCTTCTACCATTGTCTCCCTAAAATCAAGGCAAAGGTGCAGGTTTGACTTTATTTCTCATCTGCTGCGTCTATAAAGGAGGTAGAGAACGCGAGCATTTTTATGTCGGATTACATCTTGATTGTTTTACCTTTCCCATGTGTTCCACTGGACTTCTGGTCTTTATCCCTATCTTCATTCTTATCTGCATAAATGGAAGTTGACTGAAATAAGTGGTTCTACTTCTTTTTTCCAACTCAGATGGAGTTATAGTATTCCTCATGTAGAATATTTTATGCATGTTTTGCCTTTGTAATATTAACTCAGACACAAGGCTTGTTTTTGCCTTCCAACTCATGTTTCGGCTTCTTTAGATCTGGAATTTTATATGATATACACACTGTAATATAATTCTCAGTGTATTACGTGGACCTTGATAGTTTTTACATGAGGTTTTACATGAGGTCCACAGTACATGTAACACTGTGTTCAACAACTGATATATGTGTGTGTGTGTATACACATACATATACATGTATATACATATGAGTTTATATATATCATTATATCAATGCATATTTTGTATATTGCTATATCAATATAGATATATAAACATATTGATTAATGTCAATGAAAATATTATGGATGTTTTATTGACCACAATGGTGACATTAGAGATAATCTGAGAGTTGATTGTCACTGACTTCATCCAGAGTCAGCACATTTTATCCCTTCTTGTGGCACATATTTACTAGCCTGTAAAATAAATATAAGGATATTTATCTACTTGATAAGGCAATATATGATACAACAATTCAAGTAGGATTTTTTTTTTCAAAATGTCCTCATCCTTTAGAAATCATCTCCTAGAGATTATCTTTATAGACAAACAGTACCTATAGAGGTAGTGGCATGTTATTAAATGTTGCCTAGAAATAATACAGTAGGGAGCAAATGGGTAGAGATCTATACAAAACACAATTTCTCATCTTTTGAAATCTTTTGCAATAAGTGATGGGGATTTCTCATACTGTCCTTTCACTTTTACATATTTAAAATGTTTAATAATTAGAAGTTTAGTACATACTCAGTGTTGTATTTTTCAGAAATTAAATCACACTAAAAAAAAGATTATACTAAAAGTACAATCAAAATGATAACTGCATATACATCGCCCTGGGAGGGAAAAAATGTTACCCCGGAACAACAGTCTAGATGGTAAAATGTACTTTGGGATTACTAAAATAAAAATAACTCATGAACTTAAATGAAGATTGAAATTATTTTTACCTCACATCGTGGTGAATTTGGAAGGGGAGAATGGTAGAGAAATACATTAGGTTTAAGCAAAAGGAACCGGAACCAGATGATATGCTACTGCTGCCCCAGTCCTGCATCGTGCTGTGAGACTCGGAGCTCAGAGTCTGCGCCCAGCCCTGGAGATGAGAAAGAAAGGACGGATATTTAAAGACATGAATTTCAAAGATGTCAAGCTTACCTATGTGACAAGTGATGAAAAAGAATGTCAGGTGAGCCTATGTTTTCAAGAACCTTGAATTAACCTGCTACTGTTATTATCAAAAGATAAAAGCAGACATACCTTTAAATTGAAATTAATGGAATTTTGATCTCAGACTGTTCACATTTGCTGTCAACTGCATTTATCATGGAGCGTTTATAAGATCAGGATTCTTAAGTAATTTTGTTCTGCATTCAGTATTTGTTAGATTTCCCTGGAAACACATCAAAGAATGGCCTTTGCTTTGTTGTTGAGAATATTTTCATTTTGGAATCAAAGTGACATTCCAAAATAACTTTAGCAAAAATATATTAATTTCTTTCATTTTTCTTTTTTTTCATTGATTTTTGTTGGCTTTGATTCCTGATTCTCTGAAAAACTAATTTTCCTAAATCCTACATTTACCTCTTTTCTAATACTCAGCTTACCCAAGTGATTGTCAACTGAATATGTGTTCTAAGCAATGAATGTCGCCATTTTTAAACTTATGCATATTGAATAATAAAAAAAAGAAATCTTAGCAACTGATTGTTGGATTCGTTTTTTATGTAAAGCTAAGCTACATTGATTTCAAATACTACCTTCAAATAGGAACAAAAACAGATAAAATAATGCTCATGTTTTCCATTATTCCACAAAATATATATACATTCACTGTATCTCATATTCATTACTCTGTTACTATTTAATTCTAGTCTTTATTTATGATAATACTATTTCAAAAGCTTCCTCATGTGGTCTCATTGCCTTTGAGAATTTTCTTTATAATCTATATTTCCAAGAAAATGAGTTTTCCTAAAAATCATTTAACTTTTATCAATGTTCTGATAAAAACCTAGAATAAAATTCAAGACCCAAATCATAAAATTTGGCTGAATGAAGACATATTTTACTTTTTTCCCATTGGACACTGATGGACACTCTTTATGTCTTTTCTATTTAATTTCTATCCATGCTTTCAGATTGATGTCATCTCTAGACTTAGGGAACAGTTGAACCCCTACCAAAATGTCTAGCTACTCTACCCTTCCCTTAAAATCAGTTTATCCACCACTCATTTTGATCTTTTATAAAGTGCCAAATAATGTTTAAAGAAAAACACTTACATGCATGTGTACATACTCAAAAACACATACAACAAATGGACACTCATATTTTAGAACAGTGGAAGCAGGTACTTCCCTAGTTCATGGAGTAGTTGCTTGTGTAGTTGCCACTAATCATATCCCAGTCCAACTGGTTGTCAAAATACTTTTCCATAAGAAAAAAAATACAATTAAGCTCAAGAAATTCAATTAAACTTTGTTGTATTATTTAAATATCAATTTTTAACAATTGTTTTTCTTTGAAAGTTGAAATTTGTAATAGTTTTTTTTTATGGAAATACCTATTAGGTCTTTGATGCAATAACAATATACATTTAAATTAATGTTTCAAGAAAATATAAATTAAAAATATTGACGTTTTAGGTCTTTTGCAAAATATTATATTAATCTTAAGAGGTGTAAAGATCAAATCTAACAGCTAAAAGGGTTTGTAAGTAGTAGGTTACAAAATGAAAAAACTTGATTTTCAAGTTTTCAGAATCAAGGGGGTAAGCACAGGAGAGTTGGAAAAGGACAGAAGGAAAAATGGTTGGAAGAAGCCATGGGAAGGAGGAGGTAGAACTTCAAGATTAATAAAATGTTCTAAGAAAAAGCTCAGAGCACGAAGTCAACTGAAGTTTCATGAAACAATTGGAGGAAACTTCCCCTTTAGAGTGGACAGAATGAAAAGTTAGGTTTGGATTTTATTTTGACAGGATTTGAATAGTGATCATGAATATGAAGATGCTTAAAAGGTTACTCAAAGAAGACAAAAGAAGAGAAAAAGACAAACAGTTTCTGAAATTCTTTTGATATAGATATAGTCTCATACTCTGAAACTAAGTAAATATTCAGTGTTTTTTTAAATCACATAACCATTATATTAGTTTACTGCATCACAGAGTTAAAGAAAATAATAAATTTAAATTTAGTGTAAAAAACAAGATGAAGGAGATGTGATGACTCAATGATAAAAACTCCTTGTATGTGAACTAAGGAGCTTAAATATTAATATTAGGTTAAAAATATGTGGACACATTAACAATAAAGACATGAAGAAAAACTATTTGTTACAACAACAGACTCAGAACTTAAACTGAAATCAAAGGAAAAAATTTTTTCACGCATATTTGAAACCACACTTAATAAGAAAGGTATGGGTAAATAGCATTATTCTTCTCAAGGATGAATTTTCAAAGAGAATGTCCCTCCTTTGTTGTGGTTTGCCACAGCTACACCTAGAAAGTATAAAAGTCCAGGACACAGGGTGACATCCATTCTCAGGAAGCTCACCTTCAACTTGAGACCCAGTCCTCAGCTTCTGACACAATGAGCTACTACTATGGCAACTACTATGGTGGCCTGGGCTATGGCCTTGGTGGCTTCAGTGGCCTGGGCTATGGCTATGGCTCCCGCTATGGCTTTGGGGGCTATGGTGGTTATGGCTATGGCTACTTCCGTCCCTCTTTCTACAGAGGATACTATTCATCTGGGTATTACTGAAAACTTCACCACCTCCGTTGTCTGTTTCCTGACCCAGCATCCATCACTCAAGTTGGACATTCTCACCCCTGCTGTGCTGAGCACATGAAGAGTTCTTCTTTTTCCCTTCAGTGATGTCACCGGGAATGTTATTCCAATAAACACTTTGTGAAGATTATAAACTTTTTTCAATTTTTGTATTTTTCCACCTAAATGTTGTTTTGTTCATAATTTGGGCATATCTAAGAAATATGTTTCACGTAAGCACATTTTCCCCATGCAATTATATATTTCTTTACAAAAACGAATAAAATTTTGAGATGATGAGTATACTCCTTGCTTTGTCTTGATCATTATTTGATGTGTGCTTGTATGAAAACATCACATACAATATAAATATGTACATTATTTTATGTACATATTCTTAAAAAGAAGTAATCATACTTTTTGCTAGTACCTTCTTTGTTTTATGTGGCACCTACTTATGTGTTTATTCCTTTTTGATTTGAATTCTAGAGAAAGTGTGTATTTAGACAATCTTAATTCTTATAACTATTGAATTTTTTTTCACATAATTACCAAAGGGAGTATTTCTTCTGACCCTCATACATCAGGAAAGGTGATATTTTGTAGGACATTTTAGTAAAAGTACAGTTGTTTCATGAGCTATACCAGGAAGAGTTGCTCATACCCTGTTCTTGGTTGTGTTCTGTGCCCTCACCAGTGACTTCTCACAGAAGGACACACCAGGCTGCACTCCAGTCCTGCTGCCAGCCCTGATCATCCCACCAGATTCTAGTTGTGCCAATGAGGGAGACAGCCTGAGAACCAGCTTTGTTCATGTTCTGTGTTTTCACTGTTATTGTTTTAACAGATGGTACTCAGTTCTCCAGGTTTAATCCTACTGTTCTTTATACACACAAAATATTGAAAGTGGATTTTGAGTCAAGGTTTTTATAACCTTTTACAATATATGTCTAATATTGGAATTTTCTTCTCATTTAAATCTGGGAAGAGAGGGTCCTATAGGTGTCTTTTTGGTTCCTTGCCTCAAATTTAAGACAAATTATCAACATCTAACTCTGGTTTTGAAATCATCTGATCCCTAGTTATACACATTGGGAATCCTTCTTAGAAGTTTTACTTCACTACACATGGCACTAGATCCTTCATGGATCTTAAGCAATTCTACTTAGATTTTACTACCCGATTCAGGAACACAGAGTTTTTGCTGATCTTTTTACGACAGTGAAATGGGAGAAGACTTGGGTGATGACCCTTTACTGCTTCAAGTTAGAACTTAGGACCATCAATAAATCACACAGCAGTTATTCATATAGCAATACATTGAACCTGACAAGGAACTTTAAACAGTAGGAGGAATAAATGCTATTTTAAGAACATAGCTAAAATGGTTTTGAAATACACTTGGCCTTGACTTGATATTTATTTAAATTTAAGACTGGTTGAGGGTGGCTCCTTATACTACTGTACCTGCTTCTCTGTACTAAGAAAATATTCTTTAAGGAGAATGTTAGAAAACATTTAGCATTTTTACTTTATTGAAAGACAATGGAGTTTATTTTTTTAATTAGTTAATTAATTTGTTTGTTTTAATTGAGGTAATGGCATTTAAAGAAAATGGAGAGGTGTATCAAATGGAAATATACTTCATGAGAAAATTGAAAAACACTAGAAATTAAACAAATTAAAGAAAGGTACAGACAAAGAGGAAGAAAGCATTTATGTTGTTATGGGTAAGAAGAAGAAATATTATTCGAAGAACAAAGAGGATACTGGAACTTAAGTGTCAGGTTTCTATAATCATACTAAGCATAGCACATGTATATGCTTAAATAATTGGTCAGTAAAAACAAGGGTTTTATACTATATTGCAAGAAAAAAAACAGTTTTTAGTTTCCACAATCCATCATTTAAGACATTCAGAAAATAATATATTAATTTTTTTTATATCTTTTTATTTTTTAATTCACATATAGCTATAGTACATATTTATGAGGTATGTACAATAATTCAATATATGTATGCAATGTGTAATCAGCAATTTTCTTTCCATGATTTATCACTTCTTGTGTTGGGAAACTTTCAACTCCTTAAACTACATATAAAATATGATGAATATGAGATAAATAAATAATAAGTTAGCAACACCCTACTAATAGTAGAACATTAGAAATTATTACTGCTATTTAACCATATTTTGATACTAACCAACATTATTCTGTCCTCTCTCCCCACCTTTCCTAGAATATTGACTCAGATTTTAAAAAGCATTTAAAAGAAAATAATTGAAAGTCGGATAAGATACTGCTGCAGAAAACCTGAAATTTTACAGAGGAGACCCAATTCAAATTCTATGCCCAACATTGGAGTTTGAAATAGAAAGAGAGAGAACTTAAGAAGACATTTCAAGAATTTCTGGCAGATTGATTTTTTGAATGATGATAAAGCAAAAGGGAGCAAAACTGAGTTTTCAGGGTTAATCACCTGAAGAAACTTGCTTCTCCCAGTTACATAAAAAGAAGTAGATATACATTTGAGTCTAAATTTGATGAAAGTTTGATTTTAGACTGTTTACATTGCTGCAGCAATTGCCAAGTGAAAATACATTGTGAGCACAGTGATACTTGATTTATGGTTTCATGTAATTATAATTTCATGCATTTCTAATTATATATTGATTGTAGTTACTAAGAAACACCTCCAAATCTGTCCTCTGCAAACTAACTATGAAACCTTAATTCAGAGCAAAGGAGTCAAAATGACATTTAAAACTTCAGTATAAATCAACATATTTATTTTTCAGAAGGATTTTTTGTTTTTAATTAGAAAAAAAGTTTTCATTAATGAGTTCTCATTTTGACTTTTTAAAACAAAATTCCCAGTCCATTGACTGTTGACTAAGTAGAAATCTGAATAAATAGACTTCATCAAAATCATTTAAACTTATGCAAAATTAATCAGAAGTAATATGGCCTAATAACTGCTCATTATTTAGAAAAATAAGGTTGACCTGTAGGTATATTATACCTTGTATTTGAACATAAAGACATAACTATAGGTAGCAAATTGTTTTTCCATAAAAATCTATAGAAATGCTAGAGATTTTAATAATATATCTTGTATGCATCCTTTATATCCATTTTTTTACTTCATTTTTGAATAAAAACATTGTAAAAGCCTTCCAGGTGCTCTCCCTACTCATCAGAATTTGCCATTAATCCACACTGCGCAGAAGAGATGTATTCCTGAAACATGACTTTTCTGAGGTCACTGCCTAAAAGCATAGAACATCAGACCTGCCCCACCCATCATAAGCCACTTGAGTGCTCAACCATCCCTTATTCCCTAAACTCTGTGCCCCTCCTACAGCTTTTGGCTCAGTGAGGACATATCTGCTTACATTTATCTCCAGTAGTAAACTCACCTTCTTGTTCCTTGCCAGAGCTACCCCGTCCCCTTTTATTTATTTCATAAGACTCCTTGCCTCCTAGATGCAACTCACTTAACTCTCTCTCCAGAGTCATCTGACAGGATGTTGCAGCTTCTCTAACAGTAACTTTCTCCAAGTCACCTACAAAGTCAATGTCAGCACCCATCATCTTACTTTTCTATATACTGTCTCTAGTTATTTATTTTAAGAACCCCCATATATATTCTTCCAGACCACAAATACCACACAGACATATTATTTTATGTCAAAAAGACATTCATTTGTATATTTATGATGACAGTTCCTTTCACATAATATATTAATATGAATATTCTACTGACTATACTAACTTTAATTATTATGATTATATGTATTAGCAATTTTAAATACGGCATGTTATTTCACATAAATTTTCCCCACAAAATTGTTCACAAATTAAATTGGTATGTTTGGGAAAGGGAGCACTTTTAAGTTAAACAAATGTGTACTTCACTTCTACAAGGGATTCTATTAGGCCTCAGAAAAATAAGTTCCATACTCTCAAAATGTGTATAATCAAGTTCAAGTAACTAATTGAAAAATGAAAAAAAAAATGGGTAATTCTGTTAATTTTTTTTAAAAAGTAGCAGGTAAGCAGCTTGTGGACTGCAAGTGATGGCAGAGGCTCTAATGAGAGCAGAAGTGGGTCACTTCAGAGTGAGAAAGAAAGTGTGAGACAAAGCACAGAATGAAAAAGGCAAAGGTAACATTAAGGAACAATTGACATGAACTTAGTTAAGTAAAAAATTGGTTCCATGTTAAGAAAATCAAATGGAAATAGAAGCAAGGTGCAGAGGCAAAGTGGCAGAACAGCAGAACGGCAGAACAACCCCCTGCCCAAGCTTCCAGCTTTATTTATACAATAGGTCACTGGCATCAGTAGTACATTATTGTTCATTGTGTCTTTAGGCAGGTTACAGAGTAAGAAACATTGTGCAGCTTATTTCTCAGTTACATACTATAGTTGCAGTATGCAATGTTAAGAGATTTGTGTAGCTCTCAAGAACATTATTGTTTAAAGTTACTGTCATGTGGACAAATTCAGACTCTTGGAACTTGGTGAAACATTGTGGTTGTCTAACAAGAGAGTTCCTTTATTCCCAGGAGCTGAGTGCCTGAGATCAAGCTCAAGGCTGATAAGTCTCTTGCGCAGAGGTTCCTCACGCATGGCATTGCCACAGCAGCTAGGCATTGCACATGTTATTAGTTACCTTACTAATTCCTGGGGGAAACTGCAGGATACTTCAAGTGTGGAAAACAGGATGCCTGTTACACCCTGGGGGTTTGCTCACTAGAGGAATGCTGTCCTGTACATTTCCACAACTGAAATCCTTACAGTGTCACATTGGTTATTATAGTAAAAATCTTGAAAATGTAAGTTCAGATTAATTTATTGTAAGAATTGAAATTCATCCATTGAAAATAAGGTATTTAGAAAGTTATCATAACAATATAACAACTAAGAGAAAAGCCTCATAATTTTCACATGCTCCCCTACAAAATATACATTCCCATGGTCTCAATTTGAATTCTGTCATTTGAGATTATTTAAAATTTTTTCACTAGTTGATTAATCAATAGGGAGAATGCAGAATGCACCATCCTGAGAAAAGATAATTTCAGAAGTAAAATGAAGTTGTCATTGACAATGGGAAATATCTCAGGCTACTAGAATTAAGGGAACC